ACTCTGCCAAGGAGGAAGAGGCCAGAACTGGTGCGACAAGTCGGTGCACCGAAGGCTGTCGTGCATTCAGCTTCAGGTCTGCCTGACTCCAAAGCCTCTATCTTCTTCCTCTAGGCCTCATGGGACACTTTGAAAAACAAATAGTGCACTGGCCCTCACCACCGGGGCCCAGGATCCAGTGAGGCACAGAAATACAAAGGAGGGGCATGGGGAGCAGGGCAGAGGAAGAGAGGAACACGCGCTTGCACCCTCGGGGAGGAGGGACGTGGAGGGCTAAGGAGGGCTCTTCATGGGAACATGGGACTCTTGAAGGATGTGAAGTTAGCCAGAGGGCCGGGGCGGGGGGTCCTAGGCAGGGTCACAGAAGTGGGAGAAGAGCCTGGAGGATGGAAGGCAAGGCCAGATCCTGAAGCAACCGACTGGGCTGATGAGACTGAAAACTGGCAGCCCTGGCTGAATCCTGCCTCCAGGAATGAGACGTTTTGCCCCTTCTGTACTGGTTCACACAGGTATTAAGAATAGTTGTCAGCATTAAAAAAAAAACAACAGAGATTTCAGAAGAAAATCCAAATTTCTGACTTGTTCACAAAAACGTGATGACCTGGCTGCTCTGGTCACAGTCTGCCCGCCCCAAGCACACACACGCCATGTTTCTCTCAGTCACACTTGCTACCTGGCTCTGTGCTTGTCACCCCCTTTGCTCACAATGGAAGGCTCTGCAAAAATTTGAGGAAGAACATGATGAGATTTGGATTTTCAAATTCAGATTTTCAGTCTGCTCATACACAAAGGAGCCACCTGGAGCAGACAGGAGACCATTCACCCATCCATCCTTAGCCACATTTGTGCATTCGCTTGGTACACATTTGTTGCACATCAGCCAGGCACGGTGAACACCCAGGAACAAACAAGACCTGTGTGATCGGATGTGGAACTGGCTTTCCAGAGAGAATAAATAATCGATAAGGTGATGACAAATTGTGATTCCTGCCAGGAAGGAAGTTGCAGGGTGATGGGGGAGAGGGCCGCTTGGGCAGGACGACCCCAAAAGGCTCCTCCAAAGAGGAGACACTGGAGCTGGGGCTCCCTGGGGGGTTAGGGAAGAGCGTCCAGGTGGAGAGACAGCCTGGGTGAGGGGCCAGAGCTGGAGTGGACTTGGGCCTTGGCGAGCCAGAAGTACCCAGGAAGCGTCCAGCTGGAAGTGATCATCGCAGATGTGGACTAAGTTGGAGCTGAGACCGGATCTGCAATTGGTCATCAGTGGGTGGGGGTGTGGTGTGCGGCAAAGTAGTTGAACCTTTGGAATAGATGGGAATTCTAGAAGAGAATGCAGAGTGAGGAAGAGCTGGGATTGAGGACAGAATCCCCAGGGATCACCGAGGCTCAAAGACCAGCTTTGGGCAAGGAGTCGAGGATTTAGGAGATGCTTATGTGGAAGCATGAACCAGCTAAGTCTGCAGCGTAAACTTTCTAAGAAGCTTCCAGGCAACAGTGCTAATCCCTCTAAGAAGACAGGTGAGATGATGGCTGGAAATCAGTCCTCAAAGGCTACAACCAGACGTTGTGGTACTCGGGAGAGTAGCTGCAGAGCAGTGTGGTGGGCGTGGATGGCAGGGAAGATGGGAAGGGCCTGAAGGCTGTGAGTTAAGATTGCTGTCACTCAGCAAGGTCGGCCAGGAACAGAAGGTGACTGATGGACTGGGCGTATTCTCCTCGTCTCCTGCCTCTTCCAGGAAAGACTTTCGGTTGCACTGCCCCCGAAGCAGGAAGACCACACCCCTCACCACCCTGTTGCAGCCTTCGCCCTGTTGCCTACAAAGCTCTATGCAGAACAGATCCAACTCCAGGATTGGATGTGTTGACTTAGTCGGTTGAAAACTCAGAAGATTTTGAGAACATCATTTAATGGGTCCCTAAAATCACAACGGGAAATAGGAGCATTCTTGGATATGGCAGAACTAAGGGCATTTGCTAGTAGCTCATTTGGGTGACTTTGTTGTTTTTTGTCATATTTAAGAGGGAAGAGATCGGAGCATTTTTTTAAAATAATGATGTCACCATTAGAGAGAAAAAATAACACTATAACAAAAAGAAGGTAAAATGGATAAGGCAACAGATTTGAGCAAAAAAGAAAAGAAAAGAAAATTCCTTCAGAACACAGTGGAAATAATCAGACCAAGAGTGACAGGAAAGAGTAAGTTTGAGGGGTGAGTGGGAGGAACCCTCTGGAGTTACCATGTCTCTACCAAGTAGGAAGTGAGAGAAACCCACTGGGAAGGCTGGAGGGGACTTGGATGGGGGAGTTGTTCGAGGGGACTGGGATGGGGGCTCAGACCATTACAGATCTGCCTGGGGGTGTTCACTGAGTATGGAGGCTGCACCTCAGTCTACACCTTCCCCACACAGGGCGACTCTCTCCAGCATCCTTGTGTGTTGGAGATGTGGAAACCGAGGGTGGATTTCCCTGGGCCTGGATGTGCTGGGGCCAACGTGGGCAGGAAGGGAGAAGAACTAAAGTCGGAGGACCTGGGACAGTACGTCTGGCAAAGAGCACTTGAGATGCAAAGTGCATGTTACAATTAGGCGATGAGAATAAATGTTCCCATGTCCAGGCTCTGCAGGGGATAGAAGCAGAGCTGAGTGGTGGCCCCGTCAGAGGCCAGAATCCATCTTGGATGGAGGATCAATCAGAGAAGAAAACCAGGGCCAGCCAGGGGTGGAAACAACATCTCAGGGTTCTAAAGCAGAAGGAAGTGCCCCAACAAAACACAGGAGAGAGTAGCAAGATAACACTTCACGTGCAAGGACTTGGAGCCCCCAGGCAGGGCTAGCTGCTCTCTGCCTGGGTATGAAGATCCTCCTAGTGTAGGAAAGGGAGGGTGGGGGGAGCTGGGTGGGTGGGTGCTGCTCTCCTGGGAAACGCTGGCTATTCAGTGCCATGAGAGATATGCTCACACTACGGGCTAAGTGGTAGAGCCACCACATTTACCTCTGAATTATTTTCAATTTCTGCAGTCATAAGACGTTATAAATTAACAGGAGCACATTTTAGGAATCTGAAGTATTCATTTCTTTGTACCACAGCAACAACGCTATGCCTACTGTGGCTGGGGTAAGCACTGGATTAGCTCTTCCTCTGTCCATGTGATATCACCTGACTTCCAAAGGTAAAGAATTCCCTGCAGGAGGTGAACTGACCACCTGACCTGGCAGTGGCCTCTGAGTCACAGGTAAGAAACAGCCAGTGTTTATAACTCATGCTCTGCTCTGCATTGTTTTTGCAGGATATTCTTACGGTGTCACTCTTGGAAAAGAAGGAGACTGTGCTCTGAATTACTTTTTAATTTTTTTCTGCAAACTCTAATTTTTAACTGGAAACTTTCCTCAGGCAGTAAAAATCAACAAATAAATAGCAAGAACAACTTTAAGCTACGCAGATAAAAGTTTCAAAGCAAAAAGGGGACCACCCATAGAGTCAATTGGCTCAGTTGAGGCCAGTTCAACAGAAATAATGTTAATGGGAGAAATCTAGTTAGTGTTTCAGTTTGGGAAAACAATTTATGTTGCCCTTTGGAAGCAATAAAGTCATTCAATTTGCTGGACAAAGTTAATGACGAGGACATTCGCTTTTCTACAAGGGAATCTTTTAAAGGTAAACTATGATGGTTAAATTGCCTATATTATACATAAACAAACACATATATATGCATAAATGATGAGTCTAAACCAGCCTTTCTCAACTAAGGGCAATTTTTCCCCCAGGGGATATTGAAAAATTTCTGGAAACATTTTTTTGTTTTTACAACTAGGCAAAGGGTGTATGCTACTGGCATATAGTGGGTATAGGGCAAGGATGAACTAAACATCCCATAATGCCAAGTACAATACCCCCACCACCACCACAACGAATGATCTGACCCAAAGGCCAGTGGTGCTGAGGCTGAGAAACTCTGATCTACATAAGGAGCTTGTACTGGGCAGAAAGTCACTAAGTCATTATAGAACTTGAGATACCAGAATAAGAAGTATTACAATAGCGACAATCTCAAGAATTCATCTTTGTGCAAACTATCAAATAAATGCTTCAGTCAATTGATTACACACAGTGCATATGCGCCGCCTTTGTGTGTGTGTGTGTGTGTGTGTGTGTGTGTGTGTGTGTGTGTGTGTCGAGCCAACCTCGATACAGATGACTGCTATCTTCTGATTGCTTAGTGAGTAGGTGACCAGATTCTGGCCCAGAATTAAAAGAAAATTTTGAGCATTTCTTCGTCTCATTTTTTTTCAAAAAAAAAAAAGTGGGGGGGGGATGCAGGAACATGGCACTTCTTCCAGTGCATATGACCACATGTGGATGCAACACCTGAACCGCAGCAGCAATTTCACATCCATCGGCAGAGCTGGCCTGGGGCCCACCTGGCAGACTGTGGATGGCAGAGACAGCAGTGACAAGATGAGGGTCCTTAGTAACTCTTGAGTCACTGAAATAATAAATTCTAAAGACACCTACCACTGACTTATAGGTATGTGAGTTATACTTCTTTATTATTAATTGTCAAGTTATTTGGAGTTACCTATAGCCAGTCAGATTCTTTCATACGGTGTCTGAAAATTTCGTTATATGTTAACAATTTCCTTTACTAGATACATAAGGAATTAAGAAAGAATGTACATGAGTCTATGCATATCTATGACAAGACATCAAATTTTCTAGTCTTCAAACAGTAATAGAGAAAAAAGCTTACCTTTGATGAATGATCATATAGAGACTAGCTTTATTATCAGGTCTATAGTGTTTGTAATACTGTTTCTCTTTCTAGTACTAAAGAGCCACATGATGTCCTTCCTGTCATTAGTCCTAAACAAGTTACATTTTGATTTTTTTAGAAAATGAAGAGTTTGTTTTTATTTGGAAAGTGTAACAGTTTTGATTTTGAGCACCAAATAACCAGGCATCACCAACAAATACGATGGGAACGAGGAGGGACAGCAAGGCTTACCGTTGAGCCATTTGGAGTTGTACTGCGCGGTGCGGAGAGGGGGCAAGATGCCCAGACTCCGGTAAATGGCAGGATCGCGTCCTGGGAAATCCATGGCGGTAGCTGCGTAGAGCTCCCCTCCGGCCGTGAGCAGGGCTGTGGAGTTGTGCTGGGGGCTGTAGGGACAGCGGGCCATGCCACTGATCTGATCGTGGATCTCAGTCAGGTTGCTCAGCTATGGGCAAAGACGAGAGAGAAACTAGGTATCCCCTGAGAACGCCCCTTTGATAGTGCTAATGGATCACATCCACCTCGATCGCAGTGAAGCATGTGCCCTATGCTCTCCGGGGCGCATGATTAGACGTGACCAACGTTACACGCTGACTGATGAAAACAGCCCGCTGTGGTCATGGTTGGAGAATCCATCAATCAGTCTGTCTTTCTCAGCCCTTTAGAGTTATTGAGCCTCATACCCCTGAACACTCACAAAATATGAAAATAATATTATTGTGTATATGCTTTTGATTTACAATGCACACATGTTGCATATTTTTCCATCTTCATACAGAAACCAACTCTAAGATTTACAAAACTAGAAATCACAATAAAGAATTACGTACAATTTTATCAATAATAGCATATCGAAATATTATGAATAGCCCCAAACAATGCGCTCACAGGTGAGGATGTGTGGGTCTTTAGCACCATGTAGCTCCCATTTCCAGAGAGACACCCCGGCGTCTTGGAGTCATTTTGTATGAGTTCAGCTTCCTAATGCTGGATTCCCAACCACTCATTGAATGAGAAAAGCTCTTGGGTGCCGGGGAATCTTTGCTTGACTTGGTTCTTTGCTTGTAGCTGAGAGGTGTTGGAGCAGAAGGGTCAGGCCGCCAGACACAGGCACACGGCCGACTCTGCCACTGGACATGTAGCCTGGACAAGTTCCCTAAACTCCTAATAAAATTTACGCCCAGCTGACAGGTGAAACGAATACCCTGTGGCTAAGATGAGTCACACTAGAAACAGAATCCAGTGGCCATGCAGGGAGAGGGGCTGCTCAGGAATCCTGCATTACTGACCACCATAGGTCTTCTCTTCTGTAACTGAGAAGAAACAGCCCTTAAAAAATTGTTAAAACAGCCACAACTGGTAGTTTCGCAACTGACCCCAGTGGACGGCCTAGCCCACCACACTATCCCCTGCCTGCCCCGTGGTCCGGCCAGCAAGGCAGGACCTCACCTTGCAAACATTCTCCCTTCTAAACAGCCACACTCAGAAGCCAGTTTCAGCCGGCTCGCCAAGACGGCACACAAAAGGTCTTTGTGCCCTACAGTCCATCTTGTGATGAAAAGAGCCAAATTCGACCTCATTTTCATGTTAAAACTCCACCCTAAAGTGAACGTAGAATGTATGTTACATATATGTTTGCCCACTGTGCATGTGCTTGACTTCCCTCATAAATATTCATAGATTTCTCCAACGCCTGCCAAATATACATGTAAGACCCTAAAGGACATAAATGCCAGCTCTCCCCCGCTCTTCAAAGCATGTGCTTTCGGTTTCCCCAGAGGCTGTGCTCCCCTACCTGTACACTGTCTCTCTGAAAAGAAAGCTTCTCCCTTTCCTTCCTCCATAGATCTCATGGTCATTTGCGAACACACTTTATGTCTCAGGTTCTTCTCTTACAAACGGGGGCCCCAGGGAGTAACTACCTCGTGGGAGGATGCTGAGGTCTGAACCACAGCAGGGATGGAGAGTGCAGGGGGCGGGCAGGTGGGGTGAGAGCACAGAGCCCAGGGAGATCTCTGTAAGCATCACCTCTTCTCTTATCATCTTCCTCCCCTTTACTTACAATAACTGAATGTTAATTTGAAATAACAAACAGTAAATAACAAACAGTAAACACAGATGATAAATTAAGGTTTTGAGAGAAGCTGTGCAACCAGGAAACTGCCATAATGATATTTCCCCATCATATTCCCCGAGAAGGATTAGATAGATTAGTATTCTGAATCAGGAAGATTCCAGGTGTGGTGTGATGACCTGTGATGACCCTGCTATGCTACTGCTGTGGGATGAGCATGCTGAAAATTCCTTTGTCAGGGATGCCGGAAGAGAAAGAGGGTCACTTACAACTGGAATTTGCATAGGGTTACATTTATTTGTATATTTGTTTTACTTTTCTGACCTACTTCTTATCCAATTTGTAGATTACATTTTCTTCCTTTGGATTGTGATTTTAGACCATTTTAATACTTAACAGTATCTCATATATAGCAGGATAAGGAAAAAATAATATGTTTTTGATTGATGTTTAGAGTCGCTGGTGGGGAAAATGCTGGTTGAGATGGTTTAGAAACATATTTAATATTAATTATTCAAGCTATAATTATTTCTGGTTCTTTATATAATTGACAGTCATGATTAGAAATAAAATCAAATATGTATTCAGTTTGACAAAAACTGCTTTTGAACTAAAGAGCAACAACGTGGTGTACAGAAATACACTTAAAACTAGGATTTTAACTCAATATTTGGCTTCTCCTGATATTACGTTCTGTTGAGGCTCAAAATGAAGCCTTACCGAGCGGTTGGTGCAGACAGGTGTGAAAGCGTTGGTCCCACAGGTGAATAACCGGTTGCCACCCACCAAAAGCACCCGGATGTAGTTCTGACATTCCTCCTAACAAAACAAAACACAAGAAACATGTCAACAAGGCCTGAGTGTAGGAGGAATGATGAGTATGAATCCATTTCACCTGGCTAATAAAATGCTAACCACTAAAAACAAAACAAAAACCCCTTTCAGATATTGGCTAAAAATAACACCAAAGCTATTAAATAATTTGACTTTTATTAAATCAACTGGCATCCTGTATCTGTACCTTATTCAATAGAGAATACATATGAAGATAAATATATGTTCAATTAAATTCTCCAAGCATGTGTCTTCTTTTGACAATTATAGCTTCATTTTGAATTGTATCTGATAATAGTGTCAACTCTAAACTTCCTTAAATATGTGTTAGGAAAATAAATAAAAAGAACCTATTAGATGCTGCTCATGAAACAGTGCCTAGGAAAACTTCTCCAGGACTTTGAAAAAAAATGTTGCAAATGCTTCTCCAATCCATGGTCACATGTGGAATTCTGCACACAAACTGGAACAAGTTTTACTTTACGGGCTCGAACTGCATTAAATACATGGCAAGTATCTATAAACACTTTTAACTCATTTGACAGGTAAAAATATAACTTAATAAGGAAAGGATGTCTGGAACATTTGGCACCAAACCTCATGCCGAAGGATTACCTAGAGTTGAGTAGTTTCTGTGGTTGCAAAGCAGACATAGAAAATCTGGGGTGTGGCTATAGTAGTGATGGGCATGTGAGCTAGAAAGCTCTTCATTCAACAAGCATACTGAGTACCTACACTGCGGTAGGAACTGTGCTAGAAGTCACAAACCAAGCCCTTGGCAGAAAAATTAAAATGTAGATTCATAACAATGACTCGGAGCTGTCCACATGCTATAATGAAGACATATAGAAGAAAGGCATAAAACCTAGCCACAAAGGAATAGGGGAGGGAACAGTGTAGGAAAGCTTCCTGGAGGAAGTGACACCTAAGCTAAGTTTTAAAGGAAGAGTAAAATTTAGTGAGGCTTCCTGGAGGAGGCAATTACAGGGCACCTGTAGGACTTTACTGAGCAAAGGAGGGAAAAGACATTGAGGCAAGAGGAACAGACCGTGCCAAGGCATCCTGGCTAGAGAAAGCATGGTGCTGTCATCGTGTACAGAAGAGGTACCACACACACTGGCCAGGTGCGCCAGGCTAGTGAGTTTGCATTTTACTCTGAACACGAAAGGACCCATTCAATGTTATTACTGAACGAAGTTTCAACTTGATCTCATGTTTGTTACTGAAGGGCCACTCAGGAGTCAGTGTGCAGGATAAGCTGGAGACAGGGAGGCTATAGCATGAGGGAGGCAGGGAGGGAGCCACCTCCATAATTCAGGCTCTTGTCGTTTTGTGCCTGGACCAGATGGTAGGTGTGAAAGGCCAGAGCCAGCATCTAGCAAAGGACAGGCCGTGGTGACCGACCAACCAGCTGGACACAGAAGACGCTACATCATTCACTTAGTGTCCGGAATCAGGACAATCCGGGTTGAATGGGACAGCAATCCTCTCCTCAGCCAAACGGACCCACTCTACGTGAACACGTTGCCTCGCCGTAACCCAGTCTGCCGCACGGCCTGGCAGGGACTAAGAAAGTGCTAAGGTTTTTGCTTTCCAAAGGTGAAGTGAAATACCAAGGGTAGATGATTCTCCTCGCACTCTCACTAACAGTAACAGCAACATGTTATTGGCTGCTCTGCTGAGAAGAGAATAAAAAAGGAAGATCTAAGTTAACCATGAAAACAATGAAGAAGTGAATATAAACAGTAGACAGCAAATTGGGTAACTGAGAAATGTCCCCCAGATGGGAGGCTGGTTTGGTTTTGTTCTCCTCTGTTTTTATAACTGGACAAAAGGCAGGAGAGCTGGAAAGGGAAGGAATATAACAAAAGATTTCAAAGAACCCCACAGTTGACCCTTTTTAGACCCCAAATCCAGAGGAGGGGCACAGCTATCGCCCCGTCCCAGCGAGCAGAGGCGCACAGGAGCCCAAAGACAGGGTCAGAGCGAGGAGGGAGCAGGAGACCCACACCCGCCAGAGGGACAGCCACAGAGACACTTCCAGAGCACAGGGCTGAGCGGGCGCGGAGGCCTTCCTGATGAGACTGACATGACAATCCGCTAAAATAGAGACCGGGATGGAAAATTACAAACGGTGGAGCGGGTGGGTGGGGATTTTGCCTGTTTTGTGCCGCTGCTTTTAGAACTCTTTCAAGACAAGGCAAGAAGTAAAAGGCTTTTTAAAACAAAACAAAACAAAAAAAAAAAACAACTGAAAAACAAGAGCCTGCCACAAGGTCTCGATGTGCAGAGGCATTCGCATGACCAACAACGTGGGCAAGGGTGAGTTATTCGGAGAGAATCATCCGGACTAAAAAGGTGGGATCTCAGGGCAGAGGTGCATGGCCTTGGCGAAGGGAAAGCCGGGGCCCCTAGGCAATTACGGAAAGGGAAACGACCAGGACAGCCAGTGTGGGTTTATCTTAATTTCCCTGAAGAAGAACAAAGGGCAATAAGACTGTAGGTGGTTAGCATTCCTGCAGGTCAATCACAAACCCGATGAAAAGCAGAAAGTCAGGTGCATACAGGTGCGGAATGTGATCGTTAGATGCAGGCCTGTGCTGCAGAGGGCCAGGGCGAGCGCAACGGGTAGTTAAAAAAAAAAAAAAACAAACAAAAACCAGAAAAAAGTAAATGAGGGAGGACACAGTATTTCAGTGATAGCAGAAAATAAAAGCCCATGTCCTGAACGTCAGGAATCAGAATGATCGGACAAGGAGGCCCACGCAGAATTTTCACAAAATGATGGAGGATGGACCCAGCCCTGTGAACCCAGAGGAGCGCAGGATAATCGGGGCCTGGGGCAGGTAATGTTCCGGTTGAGCCCAGTCATGGCAAGGCCTGCCGGCACAGGGAGGGGGGGAGGCCTGGAGTCCCGCCAGCGAGGCTGGGCGGGCACAGGCCCCTTCACTGGGCCCTAAAAGCAGCGCATCTCACATCCTTCCTGGTCTCACTCCCTTAAAAGCTTCGACCTGTTTAATTGGCGACCTGCTTTAATTAAGATTAGAATGCATATCTTAGATGTGAATTCTGCCCAAAGAAATTCATTTAAAATAATAATTTTTTGAAAAAGAGAGATTGAGGCAAGTTCAAACAAAACAGAATGTATACACAAGGAGTGCAATGCGCACTACCCGAAGGATGGACATATTTGAAACATGGACTTGGGGGGAGGGGAACCAAGGGCAACACATGTAACCTAAACATCTGTACCCCATAATATGCTGAAATAAAAAAAAAAAAAAAACCAGAATGTAAAACCATAGAAAAGGAAGCAAGTGGAAGTACTTAGTCTTTAAGCAGAAGGTAAATTTAGGAATCGGAGAGTCAAAATTAAGAAGGAAAGGAAAAATGGCCTAGAGTCCCAGGCTGTGTAATAATCAGTGTCCTCCTGACAGTGATTCTAAGATTCGAATTCTCCCATAGAAGATCCGGTGAACGCTCTGTCAATCCCTGCTGCAAACACGGCCTTTTCGTGAGTTACCTGAACTCGCTTGAAGTACTCTGGAATCACCTATTTTAAAATATGGGCACAATGTAAAAGTCCCCTAGGAGATTCTTTTAGAGGTTTTTCTTATAAATCAGCATACTTAAATGTCTATGATTTTCCTTTTCTTATCTAAGAATTTTTTCTTTTATTCCATTTCTGTGCCTTAAAAATGGGTTAAGGGGATTTAATGGGCTCTGATTCTCCAAGAAGTCATAGAGACATCCCCAAGGCCACCAGCAGCTTGCCATGTGGCCTCTACGGTTGATAACGAGAGCCATCCATCTGCATTTTGATAATGGCACTAGAGCATTAAAACGACCCATGTGGGCCTGCGATCCACGGGCGGGCCAGCCTGCCCAGCCTGCCCTTGACTTCGAGGCGATTCCTATTTGAATTGATAGCGGAGGTGCATGTTGCTGACTCACAAAAAGGGCTTTTAGATGGAGACCGGCCCATGCCCATTGGGTCTCAAGGACACAAGGCCCCAGCCCCGCTAGAGAAAACACTTGTCTTAGGGCCATTTTGTTACTAAATTAATTTGTATTAGCATTTCATCATTTCTTTTTCAAACAGGTATGTTCTGCCTGAAGAAAGAACATATGACTGTTAGAAAGATGACCTGCAGACAGAGTGGACCCCTCAGGGGCTTCTTAACAACACCCAGCCCATCGCCCAGCCCATCAATTTTGGGGAGAAGAGATGAGGGTTGGAAGCCTGAGGGCCTTTATGTTAATCACATCCCTCCCAGTGAAACTGTCACCTCTTCTCTTAACAATGTATTAGCTTCGTGATTATCCAAAGTGCTGAAGAGGCGCAATTTACAGGAATTGCACCAGCATTTAAGAGTTGAATGTAAGTACGCCAACCAAAGTCATGATTACCAGGTGACTGTGGAAAAACCATACCACCCCATCAGATATGTGTGTCTAAAATATATACATACATAATTGTATATATGTATTACATATGTATGTTTGTATATATGTATATATAATACATATTGTAGATGAAATATATAAACATATATATAAATATATATTGCATGCTATGTAATATATAGTGTATTAACATATTATATCATACTGTATATATTTGCATACTATGACTATTTTCAACTGAGTTGACTTCATAGGAAACTTGTTCAGGCATCTCAGTTATAAAGACCAAAATTTGGTGTGCATAATCTGCACAGCTTGCTATTATTTAATCTAAAGTATCCTTGATTTTTAAAGCAATTGTATATGATAAAGGCGGGGCTATAGTGCATTGCATTCATTGATTAATTCATAGCTTTCAAATTTTTGGCACTTCAGGTAAAAATATCAAGGCCTAGCCCTGCACAACCAGACTCCAAGGTAGAATGGAGTCCTGTTTTTCTTCTCTTAATCACTAGGAGTTTACCTCCTTACTGCACAATTTGACAGCTTGGGAAATAGGACCAACAGGATGAACAATACATAAAGCCCTGAATTCTAATCAAAACTCTCCCACTAACTAACAAAATCATTCTAGGAACTTGGTGTTAAAAATCCTGAAATGAGATCATGAACAAGAAACTTTTGAAAATTATAAACTATAATATAAGCACAAAGCGGCACTTTCATTCCGTTAATAATCAGCTATGTTTCCTTTGTAAAGTTCCTAAATGTCATGGTGGGAGGAACTTCACTTCAGACATAATAACCCCAAACAGACAAGGAACTATTGTTACATTGTGAGAGAATCAACTATTTGTGTCTAAAATAATATTTGTATAAAAGATATTTATGTAATTCTAGAATACGATTTCTATAATGCTATTTCCAAAAGAACTAAATGCTACAGATTTTATTATAAATTCAAATCCACAAAATCAGATTTTATTTCTCCTTTTTACATGGAATGTTTAAGCCATTGCAAGCAAAGTCACTTCCTCTCTCTAAAGTGAGCTGAAATAAATAAAATAGAACTCAAACCTTGCAAAGAATTGACGGTGTCAGTACCTACCTTCTTTTTGAACCCATCCCAAATCAAAGATTTGGATAACTTCTCTTGGCCCTGATTCCTTAAATTGAAATTTTAGTGGCCTACACACAAAATTATGTCTTTGGCCACAGCGATACCAGGAAAACAAAAGGAAATTTGTCCACTTTATTCTCCTGTGCTCTGCAGCCAGCTAAGGAATGTTCTCAGCAAAGAAGCAAGTGGGTGCAGGCAGCATCTCCCTGCAGGGCGGGCACCTCCTTCCACGCATCACATTCCAGCCCTGCTTTCTGCTCTGCAGTAAATGCATTCTGTGGTACGGCACAGACTACTTTTCTTAGAGTAGGAAAGAAAAAATAATAAGTTCAGTTCAAATGGCTGGCATTTTTCTCATTTTTGAGATGTCCCATTTTACATTATTCTCTTTATTTCAGGAAGAAGGGAAACTTTATAATTCTGTATAAGTTCTCCTCATACTACAACACAAGCAAAATTATAAAATAGCTGAATTCTCCTTCTAAACTCATGACCACCAAAAATAGTCTGAATTCCACTCCCCCAAAAAGACATTACATGCCAGCTAAATCGACTGTGGAAATGTTATCTGACTTGGCCCCTAGGAACTGTCGGAGCAGGGAGATCCGGATGGTCTGAATTCCAAGTCAGGGGCCAGTCCTCTGGCAGGCCGTGCTTAACCTGGTTCCTTGTATTCGCAGGGACTGCCTTGGTTCTCTCCCTTCTGTACATGTTCCCAGGGCTCTGTGTGGGTCCCTCACCTGACCGTCACATTCAGTCACCATGTTAAGAAGGCAAGAGATGCCAAGCAAGGAAAGGCGACTTGCGAAGGAGGACAAAGAGCCCTCCACTCCCACCACCTGGGGACCAACTTGCAGCTCTGTCTAGACCAACACATTGGCAAAGCTTCCCCATCATTTTGTACACACAATGTACTCTATTTCAAGGGAGCAGAGGTTATTTAAAACTCTACGTGAATTTATCAATATACTTAGCGCAACCTAAAACAACATGTGATTAATCCTTCTCTGAGTATACGGCTCTTGACATTCATCTTCACCTGTTGCCATATTAGTGTTAAAAAATCCATCTACAAATACAGTTTTAGTCAATTTATAATTAACAGGATTTGCCATTATTCTTAATCTATTAAAACCAAAAGCATGTGAAACATAAAAGTATGATTTTATTTGACAATGTTTGTCTCCCTCATTTGCTGTGTATCAAGAAAATTCAATTAAGTGCAGTAATGACCGGTCTCTTCTGTGAATCAAGGAAATATTATCTATCAGGTGTGAAAGATGGCCTTTTGCTGTTCGCTCTTTGGTTTTTACTTAATTTCTAAGCACCAAACGACCAATAATCACAGCTTAAGGCAAAACGTAGGCCAGTCTTGATGCAGCAAGAGCAATATTTCAACCCAAGTAGTAATAACCTATTTGCAGCAGGTAACCACATAGATTCCTTTAAAACTATGGACTTGCAGACTATAAGAAGGAAAAACTCTTGACTAGATTAAGTAATCTGATGCTTTCCTTTAGCACACAGGAGTACAAGGAGACTCAAGTGCATAGAAGGGAAGGGCATTCACAGTTAATTTTTTAAAAGTCTGTGAAACAGATATATACATGTGATCCAGAGGAAATATGGAAGCATTCCTAGGGAGAACAAAAATCAAAATGTACAGTGTAAAAGTCACCAATACATTTACCATTTTAAACATTAAAGCAGGGAATCTCCACCAGGTCAATGTCTGGCAATTCCTGGAGACATCTGTGGTTATTTTGGGTTGTCCTGCCTGGGCGGACAGAGGACAAGGAAGCTGCCACACACCCTCCAGTGTGCAGCAGAGGCCCCTGCAACAAAGAACAATCTGCCCCAACATCAGCAGCGGCGAGGGTGAGGGACTCTGAACTACAGTGCCCTGCCCTGGTACGGGCTTCACGTGTTCATTCATTCGTTCAGTAGAGCATCCTCAAACATCCACGGTGGGTTTGGCCTGGGTCAGGGAGGGCGTGGGGATCAACAAGGAGCAGCCCAGTTGGCTCCTGGCCCAGGGCTGGATCACTGAAATGCAGCCTGGCCAGGCAAGTACACATGGCTACTGGATTTTATAAGACTCAAACTGATGCAATTTGGGGGTGGGACACAGAGTCCTGACAGATGGCTGAGGGAGGCAGGTGGAGAGAATGAAGTCCTGATGAGGAAATAGCACATGGGCCCCAGGAGAGGGAGGGAGCAGCAGGACTTCAAAGGTCTGGCGCTATCAGGGAAACATTTTCAGAGACAGACACTGCAACAGGTGTCTACCCACAAACTCTGTTGCTAGGCTTCCCGAAACTGAATAATGCTTACTGGTGTACCCAGGAGACTCAGAAAGAAGCGAAAGGTGAGGGAAGAGCCAATGTACCAGAAGGGGGGTGAAGAAAAGAAGGAATAGGAGAGGAAAAGAGAGGAAAGGCAAGAGGGAAAGGTCATCAGACAGTGCCCGGATGCCCTGGGAGGTCCCCATATCCCAAAGAGAGGCACAGCATTGGCCTTGGAACCATGCAAGAAAAGACGAGTGCTTTGCATCAGGGAATCCCGCTAGTTGAAGGACAGCACGCCATCTTTTCTACCCACCACTTCTTGTAAATCTGACTATGCACACCCCTTTCCCCAGGGCAAGTGGTCCTATTTGAAGGAGAAGAGCTCAGCCACCCATCCACCACATGGAGGCTCACACACTGCAGGGAGGAAAAGATTTTATACATGATTTCTGTAATACAAATTCACTAAGAAGGTTGTACAGGTCTCTTATGTATGGGGTTTTACATTATTATTTGTAATTCATTTATTTTGGTGGGTATGCTAAGACACCATATTCTGGTTCTTTGCAACCTGGACCTACCTTTAGATCTTCTTACATCTCTGATGATTATTTTTGGAGGCATTTTCTAAGGTTAAATACCTTTCAGGAAATAGCTTTCATCAATTTCTGCTCTGCACTTTTTCCTTTGTCTCTGTTTCCCTGGCTAAGATTGCACTTTCTTCCTTCTCCTCTTCCAAGTTCTTTATTCAGTTTTAGGAAAACCAATGACTAAGTTGGCTGAGACCTGCCTCAGTGTCTGAGTCTCGAAACTATTCAGTTAAAAGCAAAATGAAATTGGGTAAAATAAAGTGTATAATACACTTGTATAAATACAGACAGTGGGAGGATCTTTCGCCAGTGCTCTCTACATTTGCTATGCATTTCCCCAAGCTCTGGGCCCCGAGACCAACATCACACAGCAAGCCCTTCATGCTACTCTGTGCATCTGCTTTCTTCCATAACCCAAAGCGTAATTCACCATTGGGAAAGCCCAAGCTCCAATGAAGTAAAAAAAAAAAAACAAAATCACTAACAAAATGAGACATAGTGAGCCTATCCACCAGCTGCAGAAGAATTTCCTCAAGTTGATCACATATAATTTTCTCAAAGACACACAGACATCCTCGAAAGGCAAAGAATTGTGCCTCTCGCTGAGCCGGCCAACGCACAGCTGCTCAAGAAATGCATTTCCAACCTTACCTATAACCTGCACTTTCCATAGAAACTTAGCAATGTGGATTTTAGTATGAAAACAGAGATAGCTTATTACAAAGGATATTATAATATAATTTATAAAGAATAAATCTCAAATTATTTTAATATAATTTTATTTATCATATAATTACTTCTAGAGTTAGCTATAAAGTATGAAAGGAGAAAATTAAAATATTATTTTTAAAATTTGGGACCTTATTTTTTCAAATGGCATCACAGTTAATTAATTTCATATCTTAGTCTAATAACTGATAGTGCAAATTAGGTCAGATCTTATGTTTAGAATCCTTCGTAGAAGCGATTGGTTGCTGTGGTTAATTTTTATTTAACGTTCAAAACTTGAGAATTTACTGTAGACATATTTTGAATCTTACTTTTTTCACTTCACATGGCAGCATAGTCAGGAATACCCTTCATATGAAAGCGTTTATATATAGTCCTTCAAAACAGGGTGGCAATGACGGCGCATCATCGTGTCCTTCTTACCTTCGATTTGCCCTTGCTGTAACAGGCCTTCTTGGTGGCTTCATCACACTCCCACTCCACAGCCTGTAGAAAACACCAAAACGCAAGCAACGGTTACAGCTTTGTCTACATAAAAGGGAAAATGTAAATAAGGCACTGGGACTCAGATTAGGGAAGACGGGTACAAACTGGCACCCACAATTTCATACTCGTGTAGAAGTTACGCCAAATACGTGCAAGTCAGTCGTGGGCTTATACTTAAGCTTTACAATTGAGGCATAAGGACTCGACCTCTGAGTATTTATTTTTAATAATAATAATGTTATATTTAGATCTAGTCACCATTAGAGAAATGCAATGAGTTGGGGACTAGGGCATTGACTGCAGAAACTATCGCTTCAGCGGAACCAGGGACTCGATCCAGAGGAGGCTTAAAGGAGAGGCCTTGACACAAAATGATCTAAATATTCACCTCAACATTTAAATTTTAATAGCACACCGTTGATCAATATTCATAGACAAGGAAGCAAGGATGATTTTCCATATCTTTACTACTGAGATACATATTCAAATGAGGAATAGTCAATAAATAAATAGTTCCTGCAAAGAGTGCAGCTACTATTTTCTCCCAACACGAGTAATTTTCAAACTGTTATTAGCTCTGACTAAATATTTAGAGCCAAGACTTTCAAATATTTTTTCTGAGATTTTCCAAATCCAACTCATGCTGATTAACATGATATATGCACTTTCACATCCGATGCTAACTCAGAAGTGGAACCTACGACTCATTAAGAGAACAGACAGCACTTGCTGCACGCGGAAGAAAGGATGCCTGAACGTGTCATGGCCTGTGCTCTCAGAGTGAGGATGATCCTTCTGAACAAGTCCACGCATCTGAGTTGTTCTTAATGTCTATTATTGTAGGGAGGAGTGTGAACTTTTACAGTGTAAAAATATTTTCTCCATTGTCCATACCTGATATTATAATTATTTTCTATCTTACTATTAGAATTGGATTTCTGAAAGATCATGGATGTGCAGCAGTTAAATCATTATCAGAAAGACATTTGAGGTAGAAACTATTTTTTGCTAATTGGGACTAATGCCAAATAATAAACTAGACTGAACCAAAAATAACCTAATATCAAGTAATACAAAGAAAAATTATGGCTTCACCCTTATTTCTAGTAAGAAGATATTTTTCTAATTCTCCTAAACTTGGAAGAATGACAAAGTTGGGCTAATATCATCCTCTAATATCCTCTGCCCTCCAGAGAATGTTATATAACAGAGATTAAATCATAAAACACTGCATCTTGCCTAGCTTATATTACTTGGCAAGTATAAGTCCATAAGAAAAGTATTCTAGAGAGAACCACTTCGGTGTCTTTTAAACACAAACAATACTATAACTGTTCTCCCTTGCACAGATTTGAAGATTTTCGTCAGTGTCAACATCTGACAAGAGGATTTGTTAATTTGTTCTGTGATGTTTTCCTGTTCCTAATGCTAGATTGCAACAATAAAGTCACAGCTCATCAGCATCTGATGCAAACACATGACATAAACTCCATACCAGGATGACAAACGCTTTCAAGAAAAGTGATGACACCTCCAGAGAAAAGAGCTTTGCATACAGTTACATAACTATAAATCCCCATGAAGCATAGATAAAATAAATGAAAATAAATGTACTGCTGTTAATCTAATTTGACTTTTATTAATAGTATGTATCTTTCTTGGATCTCTTTATAAAAGATCACTCTGTTGTTTTTACTGAAATAGATATCCATGTCTTTGCCTTTAGTTAAACTTGAAGCAGGATTGATAAGCTCTGATATATTCTTTTAGTAGCATAGATCCCTTATAACTTTGATCTTATATTATCAGTGAGTTGAGTACTATATATCATGAAGAATTAGTGTTATACAATTTCTAGGAAAACTACATAGTGCAACAATTTAAAGAGGCATTCACAGCGGCTCCTGTTGCTCTAGCAATTTTGTTAAAAGTTAAATAGTAATGCTCTCTTCAGTGAAAATAAGAACTGTAAGTATCAGGGTTAGTCCCAGGGCTAAGGAAGAAGAATATTTACCAAATGCCATTAAAATTGTTCAGATCTTGCTGCTGAAATGGCAAACAAACAAGTCTACCTACTATCCAAATAGCCTTTGCATTTTCAAGATAAATATTAGCCGAGGATTAGAAGGGAAAAGTAATAGAAGAAAGAATGTGAGTGTTTTCAAAAATATGTCATTATTTTATCCAGTATACCAAAAAATAGTAACTACTCACACACGCTTATTAGACTAATAGAAAACAGAACAAATCTTACAGATTTTTCTGAGGATAGTTATTAAAAGTAGAAAAGTTGCTTTCCTTAGGCATTTTTATTACAGTATCACCAGCTTGCCTATGGTATTCAAATCCAGAATTAATTAAAGACCATGATTGTATAGCTTTTCTGTTGTTCACTTTCTACCTGAATAGAGAACAGGATAAAGGAAAATTTTATATTAAAAAGGGAACTTATTACAGAAGGCAGCAGGAGCAAACACATATTATTGGATAGTGCAGAATTTGAAAGGAATGGGGTAACAGAGTGGCTTTTCCAGATCACACTGGAATTGGGTGTTCCAGATTAATCCTGTAGTGTCTTTCTAGTCACTACTGGTTATCTAGACTTTGCCTATTTGATCTCTTGGCAGATACGAAAACAAACAAGCAAACAAAGAAAAAACAAAAGCCTCTTCCACTGGAGACAAAGATGAATATGGACAAAACTCTCCCGATTCAGATCTCATTTCTCAAAGTTACCCATACTTCTGTTCAAAATTAGATAATTTTTTAACCTGGTCATAACTTCCTTATTCCATCAGATCCATTCTAATTAATTAAACAGCTTTTAATTAAGTCTTCTTGTTCTTTTCTCAATGAAGATTGTTATTCTTTCATGTATCATGATTTTAGAACGAATCCCTCTACAATTTTGAGAAGCATCTTTCTACTTGTCTTCAAATTCATTTTAAGACATTTTTCTACCCATCAAAACCTATCTTTAAACTATCAAAAGAAATGCTAAGGCATTTTATATTTCAGATCTCAACACAACACTCGTGCTTTTATTTCCTGAGTCTACTTTTTAAAGATATTTAATTTCTGTCATCTTTTGTTTTTTTTCTATCGCATGATAGCCCAGTAAGGAAAAAAAAAAAAATACTGCTTCTCTATTCCATTCAACATTTAGTTCGCAGCATACATTCAACATTTAGTTTGCAGCATAGCTTTCGACAGCACTTATATAGCAGTGATATTGTGGTTACTTAAAGATTCAAAGACTATACATATTAGGCAGTGAGTCTGAAACATTTACATTTTAAAAGACACAAAGATTCTTGTTCATGGTGCAATTTTTTTTCTGTAAACACATATAAATAACATCTGTACTACTGAACAACTTACAGAAATTTTGCTATATACACATGCATTAATTCTCCTTTTCATTTAATAAATAGTCATTAGGTACCTACCAAGTGCAAGACTCTCTGCTAGATGATTGATGGAAGGAAAAACAGACATATAGATAACATTTATATACATCAGATATTAATTTACAATACCCATAAGTGTATTCATTCCATCAGCCTAGACAGCATCACATTCAATCTGAGAATGCAACAGTGTTCATTTTCTTTGTCACAGAAGCCACATGCAAGTTCATCTCACTCTGACTTAACATTATCAACTTTCAAGAAGTGACATTGCTACAAAAATACCTAAAAATTATCCAAAACAAAACAAACAACAACAAAAAAAGAGGCGGCTTACAGAAAAATCATTTTATATCTGCAGAAACCCCAGGGATGCAGTGACGCTCCCGTGGTTTCGTGACACAGCACATACCTGAACGCCCTGCACACAGACATGCCCCGGGTATGATAAATGGAACCGTGATCTCAGGAGAAAATCAGATGTAGGAAAGAAAAAGAGATTGGCTCTTTTTTATGTATGTGTTATATACATATAAATCCACAGTTCTCTGAAGTATATAAACAAAGCTGTGTATTATCACACTCCACAGCCAGAGAAGTTAATTAGATGGGGACCAGCAAAGGCAGACACTTTTCATAAAAATGAAGAGAACAATATTCTAGGCAGATGGGCCACTACTCTTTCAGCAGATGGCTTTGCTAATTAGATACTGGCAAAAGATAACATTCAAAAAACTAGTTTAATTACACAACACCAAAAATTAACAACCACCTGAGGGCTTTTTTTTTCATATGTTTGCATTCATATTCTTATGTCATGTAAATTCTGTGACATGCTGGAAAATGTTACATTGTCATGGCGATTACAAACAAATTGTCGGGGAAGGTGAGACCCTATCTTTGTTCAAAACGGAAGCAAAATGCAAACGGGTTGAAACTTGAAACAACTGTGATTCTTATGTGACTTGAATCAAATGTCAATACAGTCATCCTTGAGCGGGAACATCTTCCCTAATCACCGTTTGTGGTCACACATGTCAGGTTCAAAACAAATGGCACACGACCTGGAATGACTTGCATTGAAAGACATAAAGCAGAAAATACTTTAGTCATTTTGGAAGGAATTATCCAACATTCCTCTCTGCCTTTACTTCTTAGTAGATATTAAGTGTATTTATTTATTTTTCATATAAATTTGCAATATACTTGCATTTCTGTCCATGTCAAATTTAGGCAAGTCCAATTCATTTCTACTGGTAACCTCTGAATCAGAATATTGGAAGGGGACTTAAGTCATATCATCTAACTACTATTTTTTTGATTCTCATTCCCCTGACTTCATCCAAAGTTAGGGGGAACATCTCAACCTTAGAGATTCCCATGAAGTGTATTATAAAAATTTTTATAACCCTTATATTAAAAGCAAGGATTTTCCTTCACAAATCAAACTCACATTGATAACTGCAGAGTGGTGCTCTCAGTTTCTTGAATGTTCATTGGGCATTTTGGTTTTTAATTGGGACTTAACAATTTATTAGTTTCCTAGGGCTGTCCTGACAAATGACCACAAATAGGTGGCTTTAATGACAG